CACAATACGCGCACTATTTCGTATCACTATTTTATCAAATTTCTCATAAAATAATGGTCGGATTTTTAATATCTTTGCAACTTTTATTAGTACAAATCTCATTACATAGGATACGAGTAACCTGGCCGCTGTAAAACTTGTGGTAAAAAGTGTTACAAATTGTAACGGAAAATCTAATTGTGGCAGTGGTGAATTGAGCCAGAGCGAGAGCGCCATCTGTCGTGGAGTTTGAGCCTTATCGCCAATCAGAACAGCAATGCGTCATGGGATAGGAAAAGGGACATTACTAGCGCCGCCGCCACGAGCGGTTAGCAGCCCGCTGCACGCAATAGGCGTCAATATGCATGCGCGATACCGTTCGCATATATTTGGTAATTAATTAGACTAATCGTGCTTAAACAAACTGAAAATTCACAGAGATTATAGCTAAGACATGTGTTTATATTCATCTAGATTTCTAGAAATGTAACTCAACTCGTTCGCGAGATATAATAGTTGGTACCCTTTCCTATCGCCCATAGCCGTGCGTATAGCTGGCTGCACTAAATAGGCGCCTATGCGCGATACCGTTCGCATATATTTGGTAATTAATTAGACTAATCATGCTTCAACAAACTGAAAATTCACAGACTAGATTATAGCTAAGACATGTGTTTATATTCATCTAGATTTCTAGAAATGTAACAACTCGTTCGCGAGGTATGATAGTTATAAATAATACCCTTTCATATCGCCCATAGCCGTCCGTATAGATGGCTGCATGCAATCGGCGCCTATGCGCGATACCGCTCGCATATATTTAGTAATTAATTAGACTAATCTACATAGGAGATGTGTATTAGTTCATCATCATTATCGTTTTCGTAACTAAAAAAGTTACCTGAAAATTTTAATTACTATTTTTAAAAACTATACTAATTAAATTAAGTGGATTGTAAAATTAAAGATTAATACAAAGCGTGTTTATAAAAATGTACAGGAAAATAAGGAAAAGCACGAATCGCGTGGGACCCGGCGGAACTAATCCGCTCAGTGGCGCTGAGGCCACATTTGAAAACAAAAGCGCACATGTTTATGATTAGACTGGTACCCGGTCTCAGCCCGGTCCCACCTCTCGGCTTAGTTACTCGATGGATGGGTTACCCATCGAGTAACTAAGCCGAGGAGTGGGACGGGGTACCAGTCTAGTTTATGATATACTTCCACAACAAGATTTATGCACAGATTTATCGTATTTCCGTGAGTTTTCTGCAATATTTAACCAGATGCCTATTTAAAATATTTGTGAAATAGCGACTACGTTACTGTACCTGCACATATATGGCGAATACTTTCTACTTATAACATTGAAAGCGTCTAGTGACATATGCATAGGCCTAGTTGTATACCGGTATATATTGTTGTATATATATAGTCAATGGCGCGCGTGTGTGCTGTACGTGCGGGCTTGATCTTGCTGCCAGTGGTTGTAGGCCCCCTAGTTGAACTTGTACTGAGTTGTAGTTGTAACTCAGTGAGTCACTCAGTCTCTTGAGTCTAGTCCGATCCGACGCAGACCCCAGTAATGCCTAATGGGTTTGCCATACCTGATAAACCCGCACCCTCAGATTAGCAAAGCGGAGTTATAAAAATATAACGTCTGCATTTGCGGACTATCTTGAGTCTTGAAGTTGTAGGCCTACTTGTGTTTGTAAGTTGTAAGTTGTGCTGAGAGGGTCTATGTCACCCAGGGTACTGCCGGATCGGTACCCTGGGTACGGTCCGGTATACCGGAACGGGCGTACTCTGGTACCAGAGCATATCAATCAACGTGATTTATATGCTCTTCTGGTACTATCTAATATGCCGGACCGTACGTCGCCTACTCCACTAACGAGTCTAGGGAGTTGCCTACGCCTACTCCCTAACCCTAACCCTAACCCTAACCCTAACCATATCAGATAGTTACCAGGTAGCTCTAGTACTATAGCCCGCGGATAGCTGCCGCAGGCTGCTACAGCTATCCGCGGGCTATAGTACTAGAGCTAGTTACCAGGTTATGTTCCGGTATACCGAACCGTACCCAGGGTACGATCCGGCAGTACCCTGGGGGACATAGACCCTATGAGCGTAAGTTGTAAGTTGTAGACTGTAGTTGTAGATGTATGAAACTATAACTTCTATAAGTATAACTATAAGTATAACTATAACTAAGCCTTATCCAAACTGCATGCAGCGCCCCTTCGTACAACTCAGGACAGGCCCTTGGAGGCTCAAGTTTCAAGAAGAGTATAAGAGCGAACTGCTTCACTCAAGGGCCTGTTAACTCAGGATACCACTGCCACAAGGCTGGTACTATTTTTCAAGTGGGTGGAGCTCCGGGGAAATCCAGCAAATGGCAATCCAACGGCCGCAAAGTCGCCGCCGAACAAAACATTCGAAATTTCTATGATTTGCATGTTTGTTGGTGGACAAATTTAGATGTTTTAAGCTGAATACGCAAAAATGTATCAAAGACAATGTTCGAGAATTAGGTATATTGGCAAGCATTCGAAAAATTCATGATAAATATTAAATAAACACGTGAACTTAGTTTAGTAAACAGCGTAATGATTTGAAAGTAGTAAATGGGCGCACAATACGCGCACTATTTCGTATCACTATTTTATCAAATTTCTCATAAAATAATGGTCGGATTTTTAATATCTTTGCAACTTTTATTAGTACAAATCTCATTACATAGGATACGAGTAACCTGGCCGCTGTAAAACTTGTGGTAAAAAGTGTTACAAATTGTAACGGAAAATCTACTTGTGGCAGTGGTGAATTGAGCCAGAGCGAGAGCGCCATCTGTTGTGGAGTTTGAGCCTTATCGCCAATCGGAACAGCAATGCATCATGGGATAGGAAAAGGGACATTACTAGCGCCGCCGCCACCACAAGCGGTTAGCAGCCGGCTGCACGCAATAGGTGTCAATATGCATGCGCGATACCGTTCGCATATATTTGGTAATTAATTAGACTAATCGTGCTTCAACAAACTGAAAATTCACAGAGATTATAGCTAAGACATGTGTTTATATTCATCTAGATTTCTAGAAATGTAACAACTCGTTCACGAGGTATGATAGTTATAAATAATACCCTTTCATATCGCCCATAGCCGTCCGTATAGATGGCTGCATGCAATCGGCGCCTATGCGCGATACCGCTCGCATATATTTAGTAATTAATTAGACTAATCATGCTTCAACAAACTGAAAATTCACAGACTAGATTATAGCTAAGACATGTGTTTATATTCATCTAGATTTCTAGAAATGTAACAACTCGTTCGCGAGGTATGATAGTTATAAATAATACCCTTTCATATTGCCCATAGCCGTCCGTATAGACGGCTGCATGCAATCGGCGCCTATGCGCGATACCGCTCGCATATATTTAGTAATTAATTAGACTAATCGTGCTTCAACAAACTGAAAATTCACAGACTAGATTATAGCTAAGACATGTATTCATCTAAATTTCACACACACGCACGCACGCATGCACGCACGCGCGCGCGCGAACACACACACACACACAGGCAGATATATATATATATATATATAGCACGGTGCCTGATGCTACAAGGTTGTGTTGTAGCAGTATGCCCTGTTGTATATAGTAGGGCAAGGGATAAGCTAACTTGAAGTTGAACTTCAGTCTCTCCTGCTAAGCCCTAGTTACTCTTTCTATGTGGGATTCATGTTGAGATTCTAACTTTTTTGGAATTAATCTAAATGTTGCTTTAGATAGCCCATTGACCCATTGGCAAGATATCTAGGTACCTATCTTCTTTTTTAGTACTCAAAGTTTCGTCATCATTTAAAATGTGACTGGAACTCACATCTGTGATCTGGAATCCATAACTGTTAAAACACAAAAGCAACAAGAGCCATCGTAGTTGCGACGTCATCTGTCAGAGAAATGGCTCTGCATAGGGATCAAGATAATTATGGCAGCATTCGGCCATATTATGATGACCCTAACGTGGTGGCTGCTGGTAAGATGTAGATAGTGTCTGTCAGACAGCTTATTTGCAAAATTCATTTTCTAGTTTAATGTTTGTTTGACACGTAGTATCATTTTTAACTAGTTAGTTTGGTTGTATATGTATGAACAATATGCACGAACAGTATGCACGAGCGCAGGTAAAAAATTGGGTACATCAAAGTTATTTAAAAAAAAGGCAAGCAGCAGTGAACAGGGTGAATGTGAAACCATATAAAGCTGGCTCCATATGACATTGCTTTGTGCGTATAAAATGCTCACATAGGTATTTGGAGGAACCGACAGCGTTAATGTGAGCATGCTTCTATTTTCGACCAGTGGACAGCCGACAGTTTAGCCAGAGATGTGACGAGGTTAGCACGCACATCTTCACGATCAGTAACAACGCGTCGGGGCTGGAGCGAGCTCTGAAGCAGGTCGGTACCAGCCAAGACAGCCTCAGGCTCCGACAAAAGATGTGAGTGCGTGCGACGTGCGGTGACTCGATACCGTGATGTTCTTTCATCACTCGACATTCAACACTGATCGCTATTGAAACTATTACGACAATCATGGTTCATAGGTTACAGAGTGTGTTCTTATGTGATGTAGAGTAATTAGTAGGGTGGTGTTCACAAATGATGAGAGATGTGTGTGGGGTCACGACTTGTGTTTTTGTGGCATCTTTGCAGCCATGGAACCCAACAGACAACAAATGCCATCATCACACAATGTCACGAACTTCTTAAGAACCTTGCCATGGTGGCTAGGCAGAGTGACAAGGTGCGTTTCCGCTTCTACAATCTATCCATCATAAACGCTCACTTGTTTCTCCGTTACAATCTGCCACTTCTTGCGGGAGATACATTTATGTCACTTCTTTGTCATTGTCTAATACTTGTGTATGTCTTTAGTCAAAGCGATTGCAAGTCGAAAGGCTTAGGAATGAGTTGAAGGACACGATTAAGCGCTATAGCCTTATACAGAAGGTATGTTCATGCAACTTTTATATTCACTATAACCAGCTGAATATAAAGTATATTTTACCCTATGTGGAATGCCTAGTAAAATATTACCTATAAAAACCACGTTTATTATAATGATAATTAAATATGTATGCTAGACTATCATTTAGTTTTTTGGTTTTATGTTTATGATAAATGTATGAATGTGTAATTCTGAGTGCACATTAGTCTTACTCGTGCAGAATTGTATGCAAGTCTTGTTACTAAATCTTGTAGAAAACTGCCGAAAAGATGAGAGAAACAATGCCAACGAAGCGACCGTTACTAGCGCCCCCTGCCAGCGAAGAGCAGCTGATTGGCTGGGGGGCAGATGACGAGGAGGAGACTGCACGACTAGTGGAGGATCAGCGGAGAAGGTGCGCATGAGCAAACGCGTTGAATTGTTGCACGGCTAACTGAAGCATGGGAATATGATTGCTTAACGACGACCACCTTTAAATACGTGGTGGTGGTACGTGATGAAGTTAATCAGTACGGGGAGCTTTTCCGCAGAGATTCTGTTCATCAAAGCAGTAGTAATATACCTAATTTTACTCCATTAGAGTACAGTTAATGTATGGCTTGTTGTCGATGTTAGTTGTTTGTCATCACAGGCAACAGTTACAGATACAGAAAGAACACGTGGACTTTGAGATCGCCTTATATGAGGAGAGGGACGAGAGAATTCGACAGATTGAGGTAAACCCAGCATGAATTGTATAATCAGTTATAAGAGTAATTTTAACGTGTAATTAAGCTGTTAGCAACAGTTTCAACAGCTGATCTAGCTATATTGGTCAAGTTGATTGAAATTGCTTAAGCTTGTCACCAGGTGGCAGTAATTGATGGTAATGGTCAATGGTCGTACAGGAGCTGTCCAATTCTGCTATTGAGACTAATGCCTCTAGACACACTATTACTGTCGCTATCTATGATACAATTACAAACATTTAATTTAATTTAAAAAAAAATCCTGGTGGTTCTAAACATTTGACGATTACAATGATTGTGCTGTTGGTGCAGGTGGTTGCATTTACTATTTAGGTTATGTGCCTGATGAGCCACTAATATATAGTTGTCGCACGCATAACATGAAAGAAATAATGCATTTATATATGTTAGCATAATATAACATGAAACATCGCTTGTGGAATAAGTAGTGACACCTGATGGCAGTTCGTAATCGGGTAAACTGTTTGCCTGTGATTATAAGGAGTGATCTTCTGTTTCAGGCAGACATCTTGGATGTAAATGAGATATTCCGCGAGCTTGCCTCTCTCGTACATGAGCAGGGCGAAGTTGTGGGTGAGTAGCCTGCTATGCCATGCCGTTCGCTGCTGTAGTGTATCAAGTAGTAACGCTAGAACATAAAGTAGTAACCCGTCTCGAGAGCGTGGTATTCTTTTCGATCACTGGTTTTCATAAAAAGTGAAACGATGCCTCCTCCCTCAGACTTATCAGCAAAATGTATTTTAACACCCCTACCCTTCTACACCTCCCGGCCTCCTTGCACCGCCCCAATTCACCACTCCATACTCATTGTTGATCCCCAACTGGAATGCTGATTAACTGCAGATACGATCGAAGCAAACGTGGAAAAAGCGGCGACTGAGGTGGAAGAGGGCGCCACACAGTTGCAGCGGGCCAGCAAGTATCAGGTAGGTCAGGTCAGGTCAGGTCAGGTCAGGTCAGGTCAGGTCAGGTAGGTCAGTTGTGCTGCCCATGTCAGCAGTGAGCCAGAATGCTGTCGATTCTGGCAGTGTTCGTCAATGTTTCCCATGCGAAGGTTACTTGAAGGTTATGCAAACATTCCTGGAAGATCGAGTGGCAGGGAATCGCTGACGAATCGTTGCGGGTGGGAGGAAATTCAATCTACACTCGCTGGTAGGTGTCGCTATAAGAATCGAAGTTTCGTTCAACCCCGCTTTTATGAACGCGCTAGCGCAACATAACCAGCACCACTATCTTTGCTGAGCGATGATGTGATTGGTGGTTAAATGCTGACCAACGCTTGCTTTCTTTTTACAGAAGAGCTATCGCAAGAAGCTGTGCTGCCTTGTTGTGATCCTTAGCATTGTCGGCGTCATCATCACCATAATAGTCGTGCTCAGTGTGAAAAAGTAACGGATTGCTCAACGGAGTCAAGCTTCTCTACGCGAGTGTGACCACATCATGTAATATTTTTACGCCCGGTAATTTCGAGTCGACTATCTAATTGAGGCAGCAGGTAGCTGATGTAATCGGTGCTGATGCTGTGTGGTCAGTGTGCAGTGGTCAGTGTGCAGTGGTCAGTGTGCAGTGGTCAGTGTGCAGTGGTCAGAGTGCAGTGGTCAGTGTGCATTGGTCAGTGTGCTGTGGTCAGTTTACAGTGGTCAGAGTGCAGTGGTCAGTGTGCAGTGGTCATTGTGCAGTGGTCAGAGTGCAGTGGTCAGAGTGCATTGGTCAGTGTGTATTGGTCACTGTGCAGTGGTCAGTGTGCAGTGGTCAGAGTGTAGTGGTCAGTGGTCAGAGTGCAGTGGTCAGAGGGAGGTACACCGAGTTCATATGGATTGATGGTCGTTTCTCGAAAACCGACGGACGCGTGAGAATCACACAGACCAATATAAATTGCCTATAAACCGCAGTGAATTAATGCAGTCGTTTAATGTATCGGGGACGCCGCATCTCTGCATGAATGATTTCTGCCTCAGCTATTTATTCACTGACACTATTAACGAATGTCTGCATTATCAATCTAGTGACAGGTGTCATTAGTGAAATGTCAGGCAAGATCGTGAAGATTGTTTAATGATATTCGAGTTGTAAATATTCGTATCGGGAAGATTTGTGATTGTAAACAACCGTTTTCACATATTCTCTGAAAATGATAAATATAATAATACATTATGTACCAAATGTTGCTTTCATGCTACATTTCTGTACGAAACAATCAGATGAATTAAGATGAATAAAGTGCTTGTCAAGTGTATAAAAATGTTTCGTTTTTATTCCAGTAAATAAATTCTTTCACCATTCGGATTCCCTCAAGCAACTCAGATATTTCTCCTGAAACCAGATTGCATTTGCAGGACATAATAAAATGTCATGTCTGTGTCCATATTTCAACCCTCTTTTGGCAACCTCTGAGCTAGCCATGTATCACACAGTCGGTTAAGTAAATTACTCGAGTTGCTCAGTTTAGCTCACAACATGAGATCCTTATACTTAAGCCATTGCTGTTAATTCATAATAAAGTTTCCCAAGATGTCGGAAACCCTTTTAACTAAAACAATACATAATGAATATTTTTACTGACGTACAAACACTGACCTTAAGGAAGAAACAGTGTGTTAGTACACAACCTAAAACAATTACATTGTTATTACCTTAACGTTTAACAACCCATACGCAATTTTTTGTTGCTTTGCAGGCATAGACGTGCAGGGGTGACCCAAACAGGGGATACATATGTTATCATACAAACAGTGGAAATATAGAAGTCACCTACACCATGATCACACAAGGAGTCACGCATGCATCATCTCGAGATCGCGAGTAGAGGCGGAACAAATTTATTACCGCCGAAAATGTCAAGTTTATTACTTTAAATAACATGTTAGTAAGGACGGGTCAGAGCATGCAAATGTAAATTCAATGTGTGCGCACTTGACGGCATTGCAGCCTGCATAGACATAAGAGATTGCACAGGAACATCATGGCGTCCTCACACTTAGCTTTCCATCTATCATTCCTGTCCACTAACACAATATCTCTCAGTCCCTCTCTCTCCCTCACTCCCCCCTCTCTCTCTTCCTTCCCCTTCCAGCCACACGTCCCTCTCTCTTTCTCTCTCTTTCTCTCTCTCTCTCTCACAACCACTCTCTTCCTTTCTATCTTTCTATCTCTCTCCCCCTCCCACAGGCCTGAAACCAAAACTCCCGCAGTCTGTTGAGATCATGTAGGTTCGGGTCGTGGCAATCTTCTCTGCAGCTTCCCGCTAGGTTTACAGGTCGTAGGCACTAATACTCTGCTGTAGGTATTCCTCGTACAGTTGCTTCTGTAAAGCAGTGAACACAGTCATTAGCGTTTCACAAGCTACTATTCCAGACCCGCTTAAGTATGCACAAGGTCATTATATTATTCACTCACGATTTTGTCGTATTAAAATATTATCGGTGGATATCATATAATATTATCAGAAGTCTATCAATATATCAATATATATTGATAGACTCCTGATGTTATACACGGTATTATATTATAATAATAGATCTATTATATGATTATAATGATTGTTATGGATTTATTGATGTAAAGTATTGAAGCGTGGTTGCAGAATTGTTCGTTGCTTCAGTTTGTCGCACCAGGTGGCAGCACCGGGTCTCACTCAGCCACACGCGGTTCATACCTTCAGAGCTTTCACGTGATTTTCGATGTAGTCACGCGTCTCTGGTAGCACTCGCTTCTCCTTCTTACTCAGCGTGGGTTGAAGCCTGTGGACAACAACTTATGTGTAAACCTACCATGATTCACACACCTATCACAATGACACAGAGTATTATATCTACGATACATATCCATGCAATGGAGTTTACCAACAACGCTAATGCTTACTGCATTACTCTACTATTATACCGTATGTTGTTATAGTACTTAGTGATTTTAGCGTGAAGAAACAGATTTGCTGCTATACCTGGTAGTGAGTTTAGCTAGAAGCACCAGCACGAGGGAGAAGATAAGTAAACCTCCGATCACCTGCAGATTGTAGTCCTGCGGAATGGCATCCCACAACTGCAGCGTGGGACCCTGTCAACACAAACTATCTCCGTCAGACGAGCATACACACAGGATCGACTTTACCCAACATCACGTCGCCGCACGCAGCTGAATGACTTTGCACAGCCCATTTTGTTTGTGTCTCTATCTCTTACATTTGTCATTTTAGATTAATGAACCAATCAAGTTGCATTACATTGCCGCGAATGATCGATACACGCGCCAAATGAATATGTGAGCGAAGGTCCATCGTTCGAGTCTAGTCAAGCATGGACGCTATGCCCACGCTCAAGCTCTATAAAACTGCACGACGCTTAAGCCCTCACCAAGTACACCATGAGGATCTCCGTGTAGTCCTTGCCAAAGGTCGAATAGAGAGTGGCTCGCGGCACTGTGCTGACTAGGAAGTTGATAAGGATGAGCATCGGAATGAGCAGGCCGAGGAAAGTATACAGACAGCCTTTACTCCTCGTTCGCAGGTTGGCGTAATGTGCGTCGCTTTATAAAATGAAATCGTGGTTAAAATAAAAAAACATACAGACTAAAAGAGATCTCTTTTTCTCTCTCTCTCTCTCTCTTTCTCTCTCTCTCTCTCGCTCTCTATCTCTCTCTGACTCTCTCTCTCTCATCTCTCTCTCTCTCTCCTCTCTCTCTCTCCTCTCTCTCTTCTCTCTCTATATATAATATATATATATATATATATATATATATATATATATATATATATTATAGAGATTATATATATATAGAGACTCTATATATATTATATATAGAGACTATTATATATATATATATATATATATATATGTATGCAGGGTGCAGGGAGCAATGTGCAGTGAGCAATAAACATGGAGGAGGGAGGAAGGAAGGAGGGAGCAACGTGTAACACTCACGCATCTATCTGCAGCTTCTCGGCGACGGTGGTCGTGATCAGCTCGCAGTCAACATGGGAGGGAGGGAGGGAGCAATGTGTAACACTCACGCATCTATCTGCAGCTTCTCGGCGACGGTGGTCGTGATCAGCTCGCAGTCAACATGGGAGGGAGGGAGGGAGCAATGTGTAACACTCACGCATCTATCTGCAGCTTCTCGGCGACGGTGGTCGTGATCAGCTCGCAGTCACGCTCGAGGCTGTTCAGCGTGTTCTGTATCGTCTGGTTGATCGTCTTCTCCACCTCCTTACAGACGTCCTCGATCTGATTCACACACCTGCTCGTCTGCGGAGAGCGCATACGCGTGTTAATAGCTAGATACGCCACTTGAATTCCAACACTGCACCAACAGAAAGAGTTCCTTCCTGCGATGCCTTCCTAGTTGCCCCATTGCCTCTGAAAATTGGGTTAGGACCACGGCAATAAACTGCCATGGCTGCCCTAAGTGGTTTGCTCCCGTACCTTTTCCATAATGAGTGTATCGCTCATTGTCCTACATCAAAGGCTTTGTTATAATTTATGTAGCCTTGATAACCCTTCCTTAAAGGAAACTTAAGAACCGAACAAGTTTTTTAATTCATATAATTTAATTATCGGATTCGTTTCACATGTAATTGATTACATGCACAGCATGCACTAGCTCACCTTTTGATTCTTTGATGGTATGTAGATGGTAGGCATGTCAAATCCACACTTGTTGAGCCCCGGTCGCTTGCACAGCTCCTGCACAATTTGCATCAGAACTCGCTGGAAAACACGTAAAAATCGCACGCCGTCAATTCCTGACTGTAGCCAACATCTCACGCTGGCGACGCCTTGTATGCTCTACCACAAACCCACGATTTTACGCTGCGGTACGGACGCTGCCAAGCATTAATGACCTCGCGAGGTGAGACCCGGGTGAGGACCGTGGGCTCGTACCTGTCTATCCGACTCGTGTCCCGCCTCGTCCGCCTTGCTCAGGTAGAATCGGATTTTGTCGCTGTGCGTCGCGTTGAGAGCCTCCACTAGATCAAGCGTCCTCTTGCACAAAGCCTGACCAATCGGGTCGAAGAACACGAATATTAGGTCGGCCATGTTGCCTGCAAGGAGGTCAAAGCATCAGCGTTACCAGTCACCTCGCGTACAAATGGGCGCATCGTTTCTGTGTCGATGGAATAAATTTATCCATTCATTTGCCACTATATTATTGGCCACTATCGCTGCCATCAACATGTAGACGTGATGGAACCTCTATTCACGTGCTCCTGACCGAACCACCAATGTTTCATTACTAAAGTTATATCTCAGTTGCATCGTGCGACTAACTCATCGAACCCATGCGCAGTAGTGTGTAGGATCTATACATCGCATAGAGACGGCCCGTGCCTCTGTCTCACTACTAACCCAGCCACAGGATGGCTTCGTTGACGTCGAACGGGTAGCTCATGTCTCCATCGACGAGCCCCGGAGTGTCGACAAACATCACCAGGCTGAACTTCTTCTGCTTCGATGTCGAAATCTCCGTCGTCGCATAGTCCAGCACTCCTGCAACGTGAGGAGCCTCAACGTTAACTACACGGTCACACCATCCCCTCATCGAGAACACGTCCGCACAGATATGCACTGTTGCGCCTAAACGTTATATACACAGTCACACGAGCCCCTGATAAATACCACGTCCGCACAGATATGCACTGTTACGCCTAAATGTTAACTACACGGCCATGCAAGCCCCTGATGAACAGCCTTTTGCATAGATATGTAGTTATGCCCGACATTAACTAGTCATCTACACGAGCCCCTAACCGAGGACATGTCCGCAGTGATGCTGAACTAATGCACAGTTACATAAAATGTTAATGTGAGCTCCTCGTGAACTACACGTCTGCAGAGATGTGTAGTTATGCCTATGGTTAACTAGTCGTTTACGCAAGACCCCCACGCAGACGAAACGTCAGCAGAGAAGTGTAGTTACGCCCAACATTAACTAGAAATTTACGCGACAACGTAGGAACATCAAATTTGCAGAGATGAGAAACGACACGCACTTACACCCAATACTCTAGTCAGGTAACACCGCAGGAATAGTAAGTTTGCAGAAATCTTCAACCAATACACAGCTACAGCCAACGTTAACTAGTACTCAACACTGGCCGCAGCAACAGCGTGTTAACAAAGATGTCCATCGACATGACATGCTCGCTGTGAATCCATCCCGTTATGCAAGCATTCACATTTACGACTCATCGCGGTAACAGGCCGGGGGGGAGAGAACTCGGACCACGGTGAACTGAAATCTAGATTAAATGCTGGAGGAATGAACAGCTGGAGTGTTCCGTGGGGACGTGCGAATGCAGCATGGCCACGCACTGCACAGCCCTTCACTGGGCAGCTCTCAGCTCGAACAAAACGAGTAGCTAGGCCAGTGATGGGCGAGGCAGCACTGACAAAACCGTCCCTTTTCCGTTACCGCGACCGACCACAGCCGAGGCACGTCGCCGTGGCAACGACGTCCAAGCACCGAGCGTTCATGCAGATCTTTTCGTGAGCACATCGGATATGGCTTCTTCTTCGAGCTGCCATGTCAATCAGGGTCCAGCTGCCGCTCATCTGTCACACAGTTGCTGACACCACCACGCTGAGGGTTTAGCACTCGCAAGCCCCGTGCACATCGCCATGACGACGGCCGATAACGTAAGAGCGGCAATGGCAGCATCGACGACACTGGCGCTGGTAACGGCGCTATGGCAACAGCCCTTCAACAGGCAGCTTTTGTTATTCACAAAGCCTGCCCATGGAACGGCTACGACCAGAGACCTGTGTCCATGTCCAAGTCATGTGTCTGTGTGTATGTGCCTGTGCGTGTCTATATCTGTGATGCAGCATACACAAGTGGAGCCTAGAAGGCATGTGAATTCCACTTTTCTACTGCCGATCTTACTTCTAACATACCTCTATTTAACATTGCGTTTGTCCACCTCATAGTATCTGCACATTGGCAAAAATCAAGTGATAACCTTCAGAGTGTGAAACAGTATAGGCTTAGTAAAGCTTTCATCATCTGAAGATCATTACATATCTAGAACTTACCTGGGATCTCAGCAAGTCCCTTGTAGTGCGGATAGAGATGAAGAGTTGCATTTCCCTGTTCGAACAAAAAAAATGCCAGCTCACATATCTGTTTACAGAACAGCTTCTGCTGAAAGTGCTCTTCAGATTACACACCTTTCCACCCTCAAAACAGTAACGTATTTCGCCCTCGCGCCGCGCTAAGTTTCAGTCACCGAACGGTTGATATTAATAATCGACCTTCACACCGGCAAACGTACCGTCAATGACTCTCGCTTCCTGCCGCTTGTCACGAACGTGAATCCCTGTGTTTCTATGGCAACGCCGGTCTTCAGCACGTGCTCCTCGACGTACCTGCAATTATGCGTAAAGATGCTCATGTGTACCGGCGTCGCGACATCGTCGCTACTTTCCCCTCGACATGGCTTCACGACTCGTCTCCGCAGCATCCACGCGCGCACGAGTAACTGACAAAAATACGCGGCAAAAGCCACGCCCCGAGAAGCTCGTCGAAACAACAAACAATTGCGATACCGTCATCATGCAAAGAAAAAAAGAGTTCTTGCATCTGTTCACATGTGGGAGAGGGGGAGTCAACGAAAATACACACACACATGCACGCACACAAACACACAGGGACAGTTAGGGCAAGTGAGTGAGCAACACTGAGAGAAAAAGAGGGCAGGGAATGTGAGAGAGAGAGAGAGAGTGAAAAAGACAGAGGCAGGGACACACAGAGAGACAGTAAGAGAGAGGCAGAGGGAGAAAGAGAGAGCGAGAGAGAGCGAGAGAGAGAAAGAAAGACAGAGAGAGAGATAGAGAGCGAGAGAGAGAAAGCGAGAGAGAGAGAGAGAGAGAGAGAGAGAGAGAGAGAGAGAGAGAGAGAGGAAATTACCGCGGAGATGACCCAAGCGAGATCCCTGTGCCGAATAGCGCGGCAGACCTTGCTACACTCGTGCGACACTGCGACCCATCCAGCTGCACTGCGGCGGTGTGGTGCGGTGCTGGGTGTGAGGGTGCAGCAGCACTAACGGCATATAGCAGCGAGTGTCACGTGCAGGGCAGCCGCGGGAAGAAGCTGCGGCGCTGATCACTAGGCCAAGCCTCCTAGCCCTCCCCGACGCGTGAGAGGGCTGCAGCAGCAACAGCAACAGCAGTCCAGCGCGGGACTCCGCGCAAGGATATAGGTTCGATTTCCTCAGATCACCAGTCACCAGAGCTGTGTGGGGAAGCAGGGGCCTGCATGGTGTGGATGGAGAGATTAAGGATGCTGTGTAGGGCGAGGAGGGATTGCATGGTGGATGGAGAGATTGAGATGTGCTGTGTGGGGGAGACAGGGGTTGCAGTGGGTGGATGGAGAGATTGAGATGCTGTGTGCGGGGGGTGGCAGGGTTTGCATGGGGATGGAGAGATTGAAAGATGCTGTGTGGGGGAAGGGGTTTGCATGAGGCGATGGAGAGATTGGAGATGCTGTGTGGGGAGGCAGGGGTTGCAATGGGCGATGTAAGAGAGTATGAGAATGCTGCTGTGGGGGGAGGCGGGGTTGCATGGTTGGATGGAGAGATTGAGATGCGTGTGTGGGGGTAGACAGGCGGTAGCACTGGTGGAATGGAAGAAGATTGGAATATGACTGTTGGGGGAGGCAGGCGCGTTGCATGGTGGATGGAGAGATTGAGATGCTGTGTATGGGGGGGGGGGGGCGGGCAATGGGTTGGATTGAGAGAGGTTTGAGATCTGTGTGGAGAGAGAAGGGTTGCCATGGGTGGAAATGGAGACGAATTGAGATGCTGTTGTGGGCGGGGGGGGCAAGGGGTTGCATGGGTGGATGGAGAGATGAATGCTGTGTCGGGGGAGGCAGGGGTTGCATGGGTGGATGGAGAGATTGAAGATTGGCTTGTGGGGGAGACAGGGGTTGCCATGGGTGGATGGATGAGATTGAGATGCTCTGTGTGTGGGGGGGGGGCAGGGGTTGCATGGGTGATGGAGAAGATTGAGATGCTGTGTGGGGGAGCAGGGGTTGCGTGGCGTGGATGGAGGATTGAGATGATGTGTGGGGGAAGGCGGGGTTGCATGGGGTGGAGTGGAGGAGATTGAGTATGCATGTGTGGGGAAGCCAGGGGTTGCATGGGTGGATGGAGAGAGTTGAGATGCTGTGTGGGGGCTAGACAGGGGCTTGCATGGGTTGGAGGTGAGAGATGAGATGGCTGTGTGGCGGGGAGACAGGGGTGCATGGGTTGGAAGGAGAGATTGAGATGCTGTGTGTGGGAAGCAGGGTTGCGAATGGGTGGATGAGAGAGATTAAGATGCTGTACTAAGGGAGGGAGAGGTTGCATGCACGAGCACTTGTAGCCGCTTCAATAATTAAATGATGCAGTCGAATGAAACACAAATTGTAGTTAGCTACATATTCTATATGTTTATGTACTTCCTATCGCCTAACAATTCCACGTAAATACCGCAAAATCTTCCTCTGCGACACACAATCTCAACCACACCGCATGCGTCTATTCCAAAAGCTGTACAAAATATACTCTTCTGTTAGTTTGTGCGCCAGCTGCATTATGTACGTAGAGTTATCTTAGCAATTACAGAAGTGCGATAAACGTTATGACTTTCGTGAGTAATGTGTTTATTTACGCTAATGTTACTTATTTAAACGCGCCCTAGTGCCTGTGGGATCGCATGGGTTGGAAGGAAAGGTCTTGAGTGATGTTGGTGTGCGGGGGGGGACGGTTACATGGGGAGGAGGTGTGATGCATGCTGCGTAAGGAAGGAGGAGTAAATAGATTTGCATGAGGGTTCTAGATGTCTGCATGGGAAGAGAGAGGGTTGTGCTAGATGTTGCATGGAAGGAGAGAGGGTTGCGCTAGATGTTGCATGGGAGGAGAGACGGTTTGCTTAAGATGTAGCTGAGGGGGCTAGATGGCAGGAGGAGAGAGGTATGCTAGATGTTGCATGGGAGGAGAGAGGGTTGCTAGATGTTTGCATGGGAGGAGAGGGTTTGCTAGATTTGCATGGGAGGAGAGAGGTTGCTAGATGTTGCATGGAAGGAGAGAGGGTTGCTAGATGTTGCATGGAAGGAGAGAGGGATTGCTAGACTGTTGCATGGGAGGAGAGAGATTGCTAAGTGCTGGAGGAGAGAGGTTGTAGAGTGTGCATGGAAGGAGAAGAGGGTTGCTAAGATGTTGCATGGGAAGGAGAGACGGTTGCTAGATGTTAGCATGGAAGGAGAGAGGGTTGCTCAGATGTTGCATGGGAGGAGAGAGGGTTGCTAGATTGCATCATGCGAGGAGAGAGGTTGCTAGATGTTGCATGGGAGGAGAGAGGTTGCTAGATGTTGCATGGGAGGAAGAGAGGGTTGCTAGATGTTGCATGCGGGAGGAGAGAGGGTTGCTAGAGGTTGCATGAGAAGGAGGAGAGGTTGTAGATGTTGCATGGAGGAAGGAGGGTTGCTAGATGTTGCATGGTGAGGAAGAGAGTTGCTAGATGTTGCATTGGAGGAGAGAGGGTTGCTAGATGTTGCATGGGAGGAGAGAGGGTTGCTAGATGTTGCATGGAAGGAGAGAGGGTTGTTAGATGTTGCATGGAAGGAGAGAGGGTTGCTAGTGTTGCATGGGAGGAGAGAGGTTGCTAGATGTTGCATGGGCAGGAGAGAGGGTTGCTAGCATGTTGCATGGAAGGAGAGAGGGTTGGTAAATGGTGTGTGAGTGAGGCAGAGGTTGCCTGGGAGTGGTAGGATAAAAGATTCTGGCGTAGCGGAAGGGGGGAGGGAGAGTTGCTATATTCATATGCGTGTGGGGAAGGAGGTGTTACATGCCGAAACACAACAACGTATTAATTCGTATGCGTGCATGCTTCTAGTCACCCGCCTAGAAAACAGCGTCACAGCAGTACATGGGACATACCCCACACGCTAGTCACACCTATAGCTAGCAACAGCAGCACCACAGTGGTACAGGGGACATACCCCACACGCTCAGTCACCCACCTATAGCTAGCAAGCAGAGCACACAGTGGTACAGGGGACATTACCCCATCACGCTCAGTCACCTCACTATAGCTAGCAAGCAGCAGCACACAGTGGTCAGGGACATACCCCTCACGCCTCAATCACCCACCTATAGCTAGGCAAGCAGCAGCACACAGTGGTACAGGGGACATACCCCACACGCTCAGTCAACCCCCAAGCTAGCAACGCAGGCAGCACACAGTGATACAGGGGAGATACCCCACACGCCTCAGTCACCTCACCTATAGCTAGCAAGCAGCAGCACACAGTGGTACAGGGGACATACCCCACACGCTCAGTCACCCACCTATAGCTAGCAAGCAGCAGCACACAGTGGTACAGGGGACATACCCTCACGCTCAATCACCCACGCTATAGCTAGCAAGCAGCAGCACACAGTGGTACAGGGCGATATACCCCTCGACACACCCACCTAGCTACTAAGCATCTGATCGGGTATAGACGGCAGACGGAGGTACAGACGGCAGACGGAGGTACAGACAGCAGGTATAGACGACAGACGGAGGTACAGACAGCAGGTATAGACGACAGACGGAGGTACAGACAGCAGGTTATACGACGAGAGCGAGGTACAGTACAGCAGGTATAGACGACAGACGGAGGTACAGGTTATAGACGACAGACGAAGGTACAGGTATAGACGACAGACGGAGGTACAAAAACAGCGGTATAGACGAAAGACGGAGGTACAAACAGCAGGTATAGACCGGCAGACGAGGTACAGACAGCAGGTATAGACGACAGACGGAGGTACAGTATAGACGGCAGACGGAGGTACAAACAGCAGGTATAGACGACAACGGAGGTACAGACAGCAGGTATAGACGACAGACGGAGGTACAGACAGCAGGTATAGACGACAGACGGAGTACAGACAGCAGGTACAGTAGACGACAGAGACGGAGGTACAAACGCAGGTATAGACGACAGACGGAGGTACAAACAGCAGGTAAGACGACAGACGGAGGTACAGCGACAGCAGGTATAGACGGCAGACGGAGGTATAGACAGCAGGTATAGACGACAGACGGAGGTACAGACAGCAGTATAGACAGACAGGACGGAGGTACAGACAGCAGGTATAGACGACAGACCGGAGTACAAACAGGCAGAGAATAGACGACAGATCGGAGGTACAGACAGCAGGTATAGACGACTAGACGGAAAAAGTACAGACAGCAGGTATAGACGACAAATCGGAAGTACAAACAGCAGGTATAGACGGCAGATACGGAGGTACAGACAGCAGGTATAGACGACAGACGGAGGTACAGACAGCAGGTATAGACGACAGACGGAGGTACAGACAGCAGGTACAGACGAC